TGAACCAGTCTGGGACAAAGAGCTGACTTGTGAGGAGGTCTGAGGTGCCACCTGGATATCTGAGGAGAGTCCATTTTACGTTATCCCAACTGGATTTGCATTTCCCTGCACTGCCGGGCGCACGATGGCAGTGAGGGCTGCACAAGCAGTCTAGGAAAAGCTGCGGTTCCCTTCTAGTTTTACAGTCTGCCGCACTATCCTTCTCTGATCAAGAAAAAGCATGTTTTGCAGTACAGTAAGTCATATTAGTCCATGTACAAAATAATGCACTTTGTGGCATTGTACAGACTTTTTGAAAGGCTCTATCTGCAACACAGAGCCGTTTCAGGGTTGGATATCTCTGTGAAAGCAAATAAAGTAATAATAATAGTATTAAATATAAGTCATAGCACCTTTGGCATTTTTGTCCAAATAGACTTCCACATACGACGTAGGGACATAGCCCTCCTCATCTTCGTTCCTTCGGATTCGTGTCCACCCATCGCCTTTGTCTTCTTCTATTACATAGAGCATTTCTCCTTCTGCTACAGAAATTGTTCCTTCATTCTGACCTGAAAGACACAGTAACACAGAGTTCAGGTTGTCCGGCACAGCGGGAACTGCAGAAGCAATGAGGGGTGCTCAGTCGAAGGCTGTTGATGCAACCTTCACTGCATCCCTAGCAGCAAGAACAAAAGCATCTGCTTCTGGTGACAATAGTGTGTACGCAAAGAACCAGACGAATGTGATCCTGACATTAGAGTTTTCATTCTTTTTCTTGCAGAATCCCTGAGTAACAGGAGAAAAATCACTGCCTTGGTGCCTCTTTACAAAATAAAACCACGCCAGAGCCTCACTTGTCCTTTTTTGCCTATTTAAGAACGAAGGTTTCTCACTTGTCCTTGGCATATAAACCACACAGAGCATTAAGTGAAACGAGAGTAAAGTTTGAGCTATACCTTCAAATGTATAGAGGGCTTTACATGTTCCTATGGTGGGTAGTGGTTCTTCATCATCAAATTCATCGTCAAAATCTGTTGAAGATACCTTCATCTCAGTCTCCTGGCTTTGCTCTTCTGTGTAACTGCCATCTGGGCTGCTCAAGAGAGGAAAATACACAGCAACTATAGCAACCAGTCTCCGGAGCAGAGAGAATGACTGGGTTACTAGACACTTAAGGCAAGGTGAGCAACTGTAGCTGGAGCAGCTCAGCAATTCCAAAGTATGCTCGGAACTGGCTGGAACTGCCAGCTGCTGTCACAAAGCAATGGGTAAATCCATTTATTTTTCCCATCGAAAGGGTAAGGAATGCACCTACCTCACTCACCTTCACAGCACCGAGGGTAGGGGCTATTATACACAAAAGTGACTCAACGCTGGGATTCCCTACATGCTAAAACCAGACACTTCACAGAGCGCCTGCTGTTAGTCTGGTTACAGAGTAAGCGTCTGAACACTCCAGAGCTACCGTTTTCCCGAGGAAGGAGCCAAGTTACCAGTCAGAAGAGCACAGCTCTGTACAGATACTGTACCTCTCCCGGTCCTGCGCGCAGCTGTTCACGGCTGAAGTGTTCTGGGCTTCGTACAGTCCGCTCTGCCGCCGGGCCTGCTCGCTCCGCGCGGGCAACCTGCCCTCCACCTCGGCCAGCCAGCCCTGCGGGGGGAGAGCAGCGTCACCCATCTCTTGCGCTTCGACTTGTACGGGCATCCAAGTTGCTTTTACTTTGCTGTGTCACAGCTGACATTCAGACAACGGAACTAAAGTCAGTTTGTGAGTAGATTTAAGAGTTCCCTTTGGGTTGCAGTTGTGACAGGGAATAAATTCTGTGCTTTAAGTGTGCATCACACCTATCAGCCTTGCCACAAAACACTTACTGAAAATTTGATTCTTTTTCGACACTGGGTGCTGAAAACCATGACCCAAGAGAAGCGGTTCACAGCTGCTGTTGGGAGATGCTGCTGCTTCAGTCACAATAAAGTCAAAAGACTTGTAGCAGTTTGCGCTAGCCTCAGTAACACCAGAAACACAGCAATCTCAGCGAGTGCTGAATTCAAGAAGACTAAAGCTGGGAAGAATGAAAAACGCAGCGATTTTCAAACGGAGGAGAAAAAAGATAGTAAAGCCAACAATGGTAAGAAACAACTAAAGTTAATAGGTTGTATCAATTTATGTACATAGTGTAACTTCCAGAGTGAAGTCTTTTCTCAGCCCGATAATCTCTCTCGTGTAATTATAACAGCATCATATTTTCCAAATACTCCTTAAGCTCTTGAGATTTTGCATCTCTAAGAAGCTTCCAGTCAATGGCAGACTACTCCTTAAAACATGCTTTGTCTGATGATTTCTGTATTGCTGCTAAAGACTACAAGTGGTGCTTTGCATTTACGTTTGCTCTGATTTGCCACAGACATCTGTAACATGATGCTTCAAATTATTTAGTTAATTAAATAAGCATCTGAACCTCCTGGGCAGTCCAGAGAGCACTTACCTCTTAGGCTCCATTTAGCACAATTTGCTTTCTGTGGCAAATGAAAGAGCAGGACTGTTGGCTGACAGTCACAAGAGATGGTGTGTATTTGCATTACACAAAGAGGCTCAAAGATCTCAATTAATGCAAGTGCTTAAAGAGCACTTACCCATACATAGTAAGAAAACACATCAATACATCTGGAAAAGCAATGAAGCATCTGCTTAGAACTAAGCATGTGCTCAGCTACTTTTTACTCTTCCCATACCTCAAATTTCTGAACTTCTAATCGTAATTTTTCAATGTTCTGTCCAAGTTCTGCTAATCTCTGGTCCACACTCGCTGCATCTCCCATCTGTGGGTTCTTGATATACACATCTTTCATTTTTGTTAAGGCATCTCTGAAAGACAGAAGAAAAAACAAAATATGTATGTGTTAGTGCAGCTGGGGCAAAACGTCCCTCTGTAAACAGGGGCAAATAAGAGGATCATAAATTGCCTTTTCTTTGCTTTGTGGTTCAAGCCTAACCTCTTACAAAGGTAACTGAGAATATCCACACAGGGGCTTCTGCCTGGATAGAACCAACCATTAAAAAGTACCAGTAAAATCACTTGCCAGAAGAGAATTAACTCTGTCAGAGACGGAAAAAAGAGAGCAATGCCTTTACCTACAATGTGACATGACAGAGAGACTGCGTACAAGGCAAACTCTTCAAGCTCCTACATCAAAAGGAGCGACTCACTCTACGGGCAGTAACAGGTTCTTCAGGCGAGCGAGGCCGGCAAGAGGATGATGGGCTACACAGGAGCTGGGCTGTGTTGGTGCAACCACACAACACGTTTAGACCAAAGGATTCAAGCTCCATGTTGCGCATTTGAAGAATCCTAGCAGAAAAACAACTGAATTCTTGGATAGTTTGCAAGGCAAAAGGAGGAATTTTGTATTGGCTTTTAGCCCAACATGTTCTTCTATTCAATATCTTTGCAATACCTACTTGCTAACCCTGGAGGTAAAAAGAATTTAGAATAAAATAATAAACTCACAACCTTTGCAACAAATCACAGCTTCAACTTTCTAGATGACTACCATCTCAGTTTATGGGGCACACACAAACAGTTTGCACCATTATTATCCATCAAGGGCTGAAACTCAGTTGAGAAACTGGGACAACGATGCGGGTGTATTAATAACACAAACGGAGGGCTCACCAGAAACTTTCACCCTGTCTGTTGCAGTGCCTTTGCAACCCAAATAACTCGCAAGACTTTTTAAGCAGTGTGAAATAAATGAAGCTAACTGCAGATGGCTTACATTCGTCACGGCGCAGCGACAGACGGACCTTAGGCTGCGTAACGCGACCCTCCATCCTCTTAGGTCATACAGCATTTCTCTAGACTCTTCCTGGGGGCTGTGTTTCGTATCAACCCAGATGCCAAGGGCCTAGGGTTTCAGAGATGTGAATTTTAAGCCCTGTTCCAACGGATGTGGTACCATAAGGCCAAGATTAACACACAAGCGCCCTGAGGAAAACCTGAGGAACTGGCGCTGGCAGCAGTTTGACTGGACTCAAGCTGAGGCTAAACTTACAGAAAAAAGTTAGCAGCACGATGATGAACATTTCGGAGCTTAGAGATGGGTGCACTAATGGGCCAGTTTCCTGTGTTACTGGCACAGCAATTCAGCTTTCCTCTAGGCATTAGTTGGGGGGAGAAAGGTTAATGCAAGTCCCACGACTCAAGTTAACGCTCTTTATATTTCAGAGTTTCCCACCAAACTCCCGACAATTGCAATCTTGTGCTTTGTGTGTACAGAAAATGGGAAAAAGTGTGGGTGGCGAGGAACTGGGACTGCTCTGTGGCTGAAGCCCTAAGGGACAATATTGCAAACATATGAGTCACAATTATTACTACTTTCTTAACTCTTACTTAACTGGTGGTGCTGCTTCCTCAATCGTACCCTATCTTTATTCAAAATAACCTCATCCTGCTCTGATTTCCAGAAGAATTTGAACATTGAGTTACCTCAGAATCAACACTGAGCAGAAAGGAAAATCTGTCTCTGTCAGAGACAAATGGAAGTTACCGCAGGAAAAAAAAACAAAACATAACAATGAGAAATCATATAACCACAGGCAGTTTTCCTTTCTTATTCATGATATAAAACAAAGAAGAAAGTTCAGGTTACGAGGCAAACTAAACAGTTTCTTCAAAGTAAGCTACCAGAAAACGGAGGCATATCTGTACAAATGCAAAGCAGTATTTAGAGACAGACTAATACTGGACAGGCTAAGTTTTGACATCACTCAGTGAAGATAAATTCTTTCTCTTACAAACAAAACACGCTGAATCTTTAATGCAACTGCAGAATGTGAATAAACACAGAACAACAAATACAGGCTGCCCAAATCAATAGAAAGAAACTGAAATAGCCCTACTCTTAACCAGAATGATAAATGCATCCACAAAAGCACAGGAGTCATTATCTTTCTGCTTCCGAGAAACATAAGCTACAGATCAGAGAGCCTTAAGATGCAATCAGCACTTGTACGATGTTATGCTGCCCAACAACAGTCGCTTTTGCTGGGATCTACCCGTGCCCATCACAGAGAAACAGCCGCTCTGCTCAGCACTGCGAGGTTTATGATCGCACCTTCAATGGAGGCTGTAGGGACATCCTGTTCTTTCCTAAAACACACCCTCAGCTCACTGCAAACTTAGCAAATCCAACAGTAACCTTTGAGTGGCTCATGATTAACGCTGTCTTGTGAAAGCCCAAGAAAGCAGCTCCACAAAGACTGAAAAACTGTCTCCAATTGCCACACTGTTACCACGCCCATCCTTATACTAGGATCTTCTCTTCACACGATTCCAAAAGCAGGAAGGTGGGAGAATGGAATAAACAGAATGCAGCTTTTGGCCCAGCTCCGCCCTGCATCAGCCACAACTAAATAACCGATTTCACAAGCGGAGCTGTGGACAGCCTCACATCTCTCGGGTGTTTTTAGCCATAGGTAAACCCTGGCGGTTCCTTTCTCAGAGAGTTAAACAACCCAGAACCTTGTTCTTACTTGTTCTTGCTTACATTTCAGCTGCTGGGTTTGGACTAGATGACCTTTTGAGGTCCCTTCCAACTCTTAACACTTTGCGATTCTGTTCTATATGAGACTACCTATTTCATTTTTCACTGGAGAGGTTTGATGTACCTTTGATCCATCTCCTTCTGAATGTCTCTGTTTAGTTCATCGACTTTTTGCTGAAGTTTCTTTCTTCTTTGCTCAGGTGGGAGATTGCTGAAGTCTTCTGGCCCTGCTCCCTGCACAGAGTAGAACAAAGGGAGGGAAAAATAAATAAATAAATAAATAAATAAAATCTGACCCTGAAAGAATTCTTCAGGATTGTATTTTGAAAACAGTTCACAAAAATCTGTGCAAAATCACAGTGGTCTGAAGCATTGCTATCATTTGTACTGTTACCAGTCCCTGAACGGTTAGAAATCTGGATGCCTTAGAAATAATCCCAGGACCACACCCTGCTTCCACATAACCATAATTATCATCAGATTTTACTTAACAGAGTTCCATTCTCATGGAAAGCTGATCTTTCCTGCCTCCCTCTACTCTGTTACAGACAGCATCCCCATAAAATCAGCTGTTTAGCTTCTACTCCTGTGTCACAGTCACATTTCGCATGCACACTACTAAGTGCTGGCTTGCTCTGCATAGTCCAAGTGTTGTTCCAATACAGTTAATTCATGTCAGGGCTCTCCTGAACACACTAGAGTAACAGAAGTCCTTCCTCTGTGATCCTGCAATTTAAAAACATGTTGCATGCTTTCCAGTATCCATACTCCTTATCAAAGTCTCTGAACATTTCCTCTCTCACTTATGGTAGCAGAAAAATTAAAGAGTTTTATCAAAGCTATAGATCAATCAATCTGAAATCATAACCAAAGAAAACATTTGAAGACCACAGTGGTTACCTTTGCGGGATTCTGCTTGAAAGCCCCTTTTCTGCCTTCAAACTGCTATGCCTCTTCTTGATTGCCTCAATTTGACACAGCAGATAGATGACACATAAAATACATCCACACTATTTTCTTCAAAGTACCACCTAATATTGTCTTGCGAGAAAGCAAGGGGGACGGTTTGGGTGGGCTATACTCAACACACATCAATATTGATTAGCTGCACCATAAAGGGATGAGGTACATAATCTCGAACTTGTATGGCTTTTTTCTTGTTTTGGTTTCTGCTCACTCCATGTCCCATTTCTAAAGGGGAATACTGGAAGTTTGGGTGAAAGAAGGGTAAAAACCCAAAGCCAGGTAACTAAATCCAGTGGCCCGTCAGCTTACTGAAAGCTTGTGAGCAGAGTTGCGACATTAGTCTTACTAAAACGCTTCTCCGAGGTGATTTAGCGGCCACTCTGCCTCAAAAGCTGCCCATCAGACCCTTTCAATTCCACCCTGAATGTGCTCCCAGACAATTCGCTACTTCCTCAGCAACTGCAGAACAAGCTGTTTAGGAAGAACTGGTGGGTGTCAGAGGGAGGGAGGACAACTAGAGGGAGGTCACCTCCTCCTCCGCTCTAGCCATTTCAAAATAACAGAACGGGCAAACCTAGCGAACTTGCTGCCATATTGATTTTCAGTAAAAGACAGCATATTCATCTATAGTTAAGCCTTCAGCATCTGTGTAATAATACACTTAAAATTCCATTTTATGAGACAATGCAAAGGCAAATTTAAGATAAATGAGGGAAACAGCTAAACCACATCGATTCTGAAACTTTAACCACATGAAGACCAAGCAGGGCTTACATTACCTGTTGTGCATGGTACAGGAAAGATCTATTCCAATGCCTTCTGTAATGATCATACTTTGCTTGATAGTAACTCCCACATCACAGCAGACCTGACCGTAATTCAGTATATTTCAAGGATAATCTACACAGTAAAGCCATATGTAGCTTTTTAAGTCAAAGCATCTGGAGGTAGCTTTGTAAATAAACAAGTACTTATGAGAAAGACTACCTAACATATTCTTCTCAATTCTAAGCACAAGAGAGGGATGCTTGAAAATATCCCCAGATACACATTCCAAGAATGCAACGGATGTAGTCGAACAAATCTGGAAAAGCACCATGGTTTTGATCCTTCACCTTTATCCAAAAGCCCTAAGCTGGGCTAGAAGTATTTGTTCACAATGCTTCAGACCAAAGCATCAGCGTTGCACAGAAATGCGTGCCTGAGAGAAGGAGGTGATCTCACTTGAACCTTATCCCATGCTTGGCAACTCCCCATTGTAACAGAAGCCACAGTTCCTCCTCTAAAAGAAAGAGTCAAGGAGCAATTTTTCCACATGCTGGGCACATTTCATGCTCTCAAGCAAAACCATACCTGGGCTCTCTCTCAAGTAGTGAACACTGCCTACATTTTTAGAAATGCTTCACCCGTGAGGTGCTGGTGGGGAAATCTGGGCTATTTGTGATGTGCTGTCATAGGACCAGCAGAGACAGTGCTCACTAGACTTCCTTGCATACAGGAACTGGGATTTAGGATGCAAATTGTCCCAATGACAAGGACCATGAAAAAAGGGACCATGTTAGGACGAGTTCCTGGGCTGAAGCTACATGTGGGAAGAGCACGAGGTTTATCAGGCCCAGTTTTGGCTCTTGCAAGGCTGGGATCCAAGAGGAAATTACAAACAAGCTGACTTCCTCCGCCTGAGGCACACCTGAGCCTCAGCCCTCTCTGCACATCTTTCTGATCCGTGCACTTCTTGGGGAAAGGCCAGGTCAGACAGCTCAGCCACGTAACACACCCAACTCTGTGACCAGGAAATCCCTGGTATAAAGTGTTGGGCTACCAGGACAGTGGCTTGGCAACAGCCAGAAGAACAGGGTTTGCAGGTAAGCTAGATGCTTCCATCACTCCTCAGACCTACCACAGGTCTTCAGTGAGAAGCAATATTGCTCATGGAGTCCAAGCAAGTCACTGTGTTGACAGAGCAGGACAGGACCTGAAACCTCCAGAGCTGCCGCGGGGAGCTCAACAGCCTCTGCTTTTCCTGCAAATAAGTTGCTCTGAACAGAACAGGCCCACAGTGATGTATCCAAGAACAACAGATGTGTAGGGTAAAGAGTACTTAAAGGCACTAACCAATGGGGAATTAGAAAACTTTCAAGCTAATGCAGTTAAGGTACTGCTGCAGACGCTGTGAAGCTCTCTGAAACTGCAGCGGTCAGTTGTGGCTCCTGCCTGCTGGCACGGAGCAGGTCAGCAAGCGAGTCGAATTCTCCTTGCGACTGGGCTCTCAAAGGGCAAAGGAATGGATACAAGCTCTCAGGAACGTATCGAGGTGTGGAGTATCTCGAACAATACAGTACCTTGTGTCTGAAGTTCAGCACGTAATTTGCTTTCCCAAACATGTTCACCCCTTCCCTTTCCAGCTCAGTAAGATATCTTACCGTCGTTCAAGAAACCTTCCCAGCTGCATCCAAGATAGAATTTAGGATTTATATACGTATATCTCTCCATTTGTAAATTCAAATCTGAGTTAACCTTGTTGGTTAAGGTTTATAGAATTTCAATTAATGCCATTATTAGTTATTCGGAAGGACTACATAGGGCTGTAAAATGTAGGTGATAGTGATGCAGATTTCCAGTAATACCTGGACGTGGAAAGCAAACTTTGCAGCTATGTTACAAAAAGACATGCATTTCTCTCTAGAAAAGGTCCAGCAAGCACAGAGACCTTTATTTTTTGTTTTCTTTAAAGCTTTCAATGTATACTTATACAGTAGTAGAATTACTCGATACCATTTTTCTACATTTTTATAGCCCTAGATTATAAAAGTGAAAACTAAACTACAATTAGAGTTATTTTTTTAGCAGCTTATTAGAAAGGCTGAATTCTGATCACCTCTATTAGACTCCAGACCTGTGTATTCAGAGTTATCTGATAAATATCAAAAAAAGCAAACACAAAGAAGAAACAAATTTAACAGTTAATTTCAGTGTCATGTCATACGTGGCACAGTGCACATTAAAACACACACAGAAAATTGTGATTAAAACACGGGACAGGCATGCCGTAAATGTGCTTACCAGCTTGAGAGAAAGCTTCATGTAAAAATTGGAGAGATACAGGGTGGGGGGAGAAAGAGAAAAAACAACAGTGCATCAGTAGGAGAGGAACTTTGTCAGACTGATGTTACAATAAAATGACACATAATCCCCTTGCTGTTGGAAGGCAAAATGGGTAACACTAACAGGTCTGTGCCAAAGTTCACAAGATGGACCAGCTCAGTCAGTCAGCTGCTGCTTCCTCGCCAGAAACCAAAAGGGAAAAGCGTTGTACCTCTTCCCAGGTGTGCTTTACTTAGCACTGCAGGTGAAAATCTGGCCCGGATTGCTTGGCTTGCAGCTGCTACAACAGCAGCAGCAATTTTTCACACTACAACAACATCTCTGACGTGGAAAAAAAAACCCTCAGAACTTGGAAAGGTCAAAAATGTGCTGAAATGCAGTCAGGAGGATCAGTCACTTTATGCAAGGGCTTAAAAGAAAAGGGGATAACACCGAGCCAAAAGGCTGTGGAGAGGTAAGGTACAGCACTTGGCCTCCAGCAGCAAAAAGCACGGTGGGATCTCTGGTGATCATTTCCCAGCTCTCAGGACTACATCCAAAGGACAGCATCCCTGAGGACTGCGTACGGCGCTGCCCGGGCAGTCACATAAAGTCGTTTCATGTTCCCGAACAATTCAAAACCAAATACTCAGTCTGAAACGTACTTTGGCCATACAGCCAGACAAGGTCAGGACCAAGGAGGAGGAAAAAAATCAAAAAAATCTGTTCTCCTTACACCAAATTGATTCTATGACCACAATAAGACATTATTCAAGGTCCCTTAAGCAAGGTATGCGATGTAACTCTGCAAAGGTTACCCCATTTCCTGGTGCAGAGCCCAAAACATTATCTTTAGTCCTACTTTCCCAGAGGAACTAAAAGGGAAGATATAAACCCGGGTTTTAACGGGACAATCAAAGCTGCACCATGCCCGTCCTGCCAGCCGAGCGGGCACAGCTGTGAAATGCTCAAACTATGCAACAAGCTTCCAAGTGCATAAATGTACATCCTTGGTGGTAAAGCCAGCTGAAACATGGAAGCTGGAAAATGCCTCTTGCTCAGGCAAGGAGCTGTCCTGTGAGACTTCCCAGTCGAGACTCCTCTGTGATTTTCCTACCTGTGGCTCCCGGGTAAGGTGCTCTCAAACACATGTTCCATTTTTAGCAGAAGCGCAGCTCTTTAGGATTGGATTTAAAATAAAAGTGGCTGCACGTCTATGATGTTTTTGACAGCATGATTTAAGAAATAAATGTTTTTCAAAAATAACAATTACCAGTAGTTACCAGAATTTGCACAGTAACACACACCAACCATTCAAGGCAAATACACGGCCTTGAGATAAAGAGTGAAATATTCCATTTGAACCGAGAACACAGCAGTTACACTCCCCTCTGAAGTTCAGCCCATTAGGAAGTAAACACATGATAATAATCACAGTGCAAGGAAGAAATTCACTCTCTCAGCTAAGAGGCCATTAAAAATAAAAAAAGCAAACAAAGGCAATCCATTTGAGAGAATAATCATACAGGAAGGAGAACGAATGAGCTAAAATATGCTGCTGAGGAAATTCAGCGTAGGCAGCTTTTGTTTGCATAATTTCTTTAGCACTCCTGTGAACTTTCGCATAGACATGATCAGCACAAATTGAGATCCTTGTACGTATATACAGACAAGACTCATGATGCAGAATAAATATTTACCTATGAAGCACTCTATAAAAGGCACAAATGTAAGCTACATGCGCTAGTTTCTAAACACTACTCACTCTAAAGGCACTACACTACTGCAAAGAATCATCTGCATCAAGGCTATTCTTTTGCTGTAAATTCAGCAAATTTGAAAAGGATTATAGACACTGTATGCCGAATTCTTATGCTGTTAAGTATAACAAAAATAGAGAACTTATTAATAGCATTTCCAAATAGTACATCAGGGATTGTTACAACCAGTACAAATAAAGCAGATCATAGACTGGAAACAACGAAATGCTGAAATAAATCATGTTCAGTTTTCCATTTCTGAAAAGTATTTGTAATTTTTCAGGAGGCAATTCAGTTTCTATAAACAAATGAAAGTAGACTGAAAATAAATCTGCATTAAACACTAAGTAACTACTTTTGTCCATTCTATTGGGTTTTCACAGCTAGAAACTTGTTCACAGCTCCTGGAAGAAGAACAGGGGCATTTCTCCCCCAGATGATCAAATAAATTAAATTTCCTTAAAATGTGCACATCTGTTTCAAGCTGTCAAGGTAAAACAAGTCTAGCTTGGTCTTGCAGGGAAAAAATGAAGAGCTTAAGAGCCACAAGCTTCAATAACACATGAGAGAGCATGAAAGCCAGCAAGTCCATGTGTTATTGGACAGTCACGGCCACTAACCTCACTTACAGAAAACGGGGTTGAAATAATTCACTGGATTTCCATACAACCAAGAGACAATTTTCTTTATTTAGTGGTCCTGTAACAAACCCTCCCATACTCTGCTTTACCCAATATCAGATTTAGAGGTCACATATCTTTATTCCATGAACTATCGTCATTGCAGAGAGTTCAGGGAAGCGTCAGAAAGCTCCACAGAGTGCTCCCCAACCGAGGCACAGAGCGTGTCACTGCGCTGCTGTAAATCAGGGCTCGGCTCGTGATGCTCAAGACTGAATTCATAAAATAATTTAGAACAAATGCATGGAACCTGTTTGTAGTACTTACTCTGAAATTCACAGGCCCAGCTACTTTAAATTGTGCCAATTAAAGTACTTAAATTGTGCCAATTTCAGCATTTCCAGGACTAGCAGACATATCTTTCCTTCACACACCACCAGAAGCTGCAGCTTGCCTGCCCCTCAATTTTCCTTTTATTTTTTTACAAAGCACATTCCCACAGCACACTCCATCCGGGCGTTGTAAGTGGGGTTAGCGACTGTGTAGCAACGGTATGGGCTGATCACACCATACACGGACTTACAACATATTCCCTAGCCTCAACGGCACACGTGGGTGTCCCTAAAGTCCTCTTCATGAGTTCTTTGTGAATATACAAAGACTGTGTCTGCTGGTGAGTCAGCAAGAGAAAACACATCCGTTACAGTGGAGACGAGCACAGCACCTCTGTGTTTACTGCTTCTACAGCAAAAGCCAGCTCAGCGTTTAACTCGCCTTCGAGTGCAAAGTGGAAGCTTCCTAGAAACTAGGCGAATGTTAAGAGAGCATTCTCACACAAATCAGAAAGGATCACATTTTTAAAAGCGAGCTTAAAGACGCACGGTCAGAAGGTACCTCTCTGGGCTAGAATAAACCATGGCTTTAACCACCCCACCCGCCAAAATGTTCTGGTCTTGGCATAGATTGATTTATACACTTACATCAGAACAATGAGTATTGCAAGGGGCAGGGAGCAGAGCAGGTACGAGGAGGGGTGGTTTGGGTTTGTTTGCTGTTCCTGCGTGCTCGCAGAACAACAAAGCACTGATCATCCCCCAGGCAGACCGAGAGCTCAGTGGCAAGGGAGACAACTCCACAGAGGCAAGACGGGATGCGAGGGAAAAACATGAACTGGTGCAATGGAAATCACGTTGTAATGAAGTCAACAACTTCCACTAAAAAGGAAACCACAAAAGTCCCTCCATGTGCCTTCTGCAACTGTCCGGTGGGTGGAACTTGGGTAAGGACAGCACTATCTGCGTCCCAGCTCCCTGACCCACCCTCTCTGCTTAATCACTACCCAGTCTCCGAGGTAAGAGGAAAAAGGCAAGTCCATGTAACAGCACACAAAGTAATTCAAAGGCGTAAGTTCTACCCCTGGATTTTGTTAGTTCAGAAATATTGCTCTTTAAATAAAGGTGCTGATGTTACTGTTGCTATAGCAATAAAACAAAAGAGCACAAAATTAATATCAACTAGCAGAATACCAAGTTTTCTTTGTCCTCAAAATGGAATTAGAAAAAGCAGAGCAAGCATAAATGAAATTATGACTTATGTAAGTGGTTCCTCATTTTTTTTGTACTCTTCTGGCTTTAACTTCCCTAAAGACACGGAGTTGATTTCAAGCGTTGTACCACTTTCATGCTGCCTTTTTAAAGAGTTATTAGAAACAGCCTTTAAAAACTGTGTAAGAGAGACTTTTTTCCCCTCCTTTTCTAGGTCTGATGCACGGTAAGTGCTGTGACAGTTTTATGGTATTCTCTATAATGGAGATTTCTGCTGTTGGGGTTAGAAGAAACTTTGAGGAAAACACAAGAATGTGTTAGAAAACCAACAATCAGCATCTATTTTGTAAAAGCTTTTTTTTTTAACAGACTAGGATTTCATATTGGCAGTGACCACTGACACTGGCATTGGTGCCTCTACGTTAACCTTGCATCTGTTGTAAATTGTTCAGGCATCTGCTTCCTTTCATGGAAACAAGATTCATTGGATTTTTTTTTTTACGTTTGGAAGCCAAATTAAATCCAGACTGGGCAAAGGACATATCATTACTAATTATATAATTAATTTTAACAGTCACCAGTGACTTTTCCACTTTAGTTTCATACTTTCTCTCTCCAAATGCAATACAAGATGCTAACCCAAAACTTTCTAAGGAAATTACTAAACCATGCTGCCTCTCCAGACACATTCTGATATCAAAGATTTCATGGAGGAATTGCATGGGAATCCATTCACTCCCTTACGTTTCAAGGATCAGTTACAATGTGCCGTTAGTTCTGCTGGTGGTATTTATCCTGTTAAGGTCTTACTATCTACTGGACTTTTTCACATTAAGTAGTTCTTTTTCAAGCACTTCTTCCTTAAGCCAGTGCAAAAGGAGTGTGATCATCTAATTTCCTCTGAAATAAATTATTTTGGCTTTTGTAGGAGTTCACAGCTCAGCTTATCAACAAAGCCAGGAAAGCCTCATTGAACAATTTGGTTGAATACTCCAAAATAATACTTCAAGTCCCTTGTGGTCACCTCTACTGCAAGGTGTCTGGCAGGAGTGGAATTTTGCCTCTGAACAAAATCAGCAGTGCGGAGAAAATGTTCAGAGCAAATGAATTTATTCAGTGTCCAAAGCCAAAACGCCATCACGTTGTGCTGTCCTGTTGGCTCCCTGCACGACCTTTCCAAACACTGCTTCCCTGATGGACTTCTCTACAGATCAAATGTTCTTCTGTGTGGGGCAGAGTCTCTCTCTACATCCTTCTAATTTCTTTTCATAAGTCAGTATTCGTAACATTACTGCCCGTGTTCCTGAGCAAAACTCAAATGCTTTTGGATTTGACAGGGAGATGGAAAATAATGGAGAAAACGAAATCTGAATAAACAATATCATAGGAGCAGAAATAACAGCATTGTCTAGCTGTACTGAATACAAAGCGGGTCATACAAACCCCATCAGCCAAAACAAATGCCAACCACTCATTTTTCATCTAATAAATTAACAAGATGGGGGGGGGGGGGTTCTTGCTTTATTTTTTGCTGGGTTAAGATTTTATTTTTGAAGGTCATATGGCCCTTTCACGATGTTTTAGTCTGACCATTTGTATAACACGGATCATCGAGGACCTCTGAAATGTGAACTTGACAAGTTCTCGATGAGATGGAGCAAGCTGCGAGGGCTTTGCAGCCTCTCCCTATTCCTAGATGAAGCAAGCGGCCTGAATTCGTCCCTTGGGGAAAAAAAAACGTAAAGAAGAGACTATGATCTGAACACTGGCCTCCAACTCTGTGAGTGAGTCAGGCAGGAAAAGTGTTTGCATGCAAACATCCTGGTAGCTAACAGGGGAAGGAAATGAAATAGAGAGAGAACACAGCAAAAGGTTTAAATGAGGATTTAGCAACAACCTTTCCTTGCACATTTTAATGAGGGTGTCAGCAGAAATTTGAGGGATTCCAGAGGAGACTACAGGAAATTGTTTTTATTTCACCTCTAACACAAACAGCTTAAAATCAACATGGTAGGTAGAATTTGTAAGATTCACTTGGATTTCTCAGATAGTTAGTACATAAAATAATGGACTTCCTTCAGGAAGTGTTAAAAGCAATTAGTCATAATCACATATTTGGCCAAATATTCACTAAATAAGAAATTGTACACTTGAAATACAAACTTGACAAGTGCCCAGGGAACTGCAAACTCCTATTTTTTAAAATCAAGGTAGAAATACTCAGCACTATTTTCAACATTGAGCCTCACGACTGGCGCTATGGGAGCGCTACATCGCAACACGGACCCTCACCTTCAGCCCTGCCTCACTTCCCAAAGCATCCCAGTGCTACGTGGTGGCAGGAGGTTCTTAGCTGCATGAGGAGGACTGCCAGGTGCCCACCCGCCACCACGACAGCCAGCTCCTACCCAGCCCATCCTCTCGCTCTGCTGCTGCAGAAGCGGAACTGAAAGGCGGCGTTTCCCCCTACAAAACCACTGAGAAAAGCTGCTCCGAGCCAAAGTTCAGCTGAGGGAAGGAGGTACATTTACAGAACCTTCCCCTTGGACAACTCAGAAACTTCCCGCTTCCCACACGATGAGATTTTCTGGCTTCTGAATATTCAATTAAATGGCAATTCCCTAACAAAGAACTGAAAACCACTCTGCGTAAAACATCTTTTTTTCAAATGTGCCGTCTGCAACCAAACGAGACAAAATATTGTTTACAAGGCTGTTCTCAGTTCTGTGTAACTAACCACTGAAGTTCCCCACTGAAATCATCTCTACTTTTATACGACTCCAGCCCTCAGTCCTAAATGTCAGTGCAGTCCCTGGAGCAGAATTTGGGCTTTTTAAAGTAGTCACTTCCTTGCTGTTATAGGCTTCTCTAAAAAACATTTTAAACTACTGAACACTTGTGTCTCCTTCCTGTAATTTTTATAAGAGGAAATAATTCTAAGGACCTTAACCTAGGAGCCAAAGCCAGCTATGCCAGCAATTTTTCAGCAAGCTTCTTTTTACCTGAAAAAGGGAAGAAATTATCTCGGGGACCTGTCATTTCACTTGCTGCTTATGAAGATGACCAACAAGAGCATTTTATTCAACACAACCCCTTCAACACCAGTTTACCAACACAGCCACAGCTGGGGTCAGCAACAGGAATAGAGCAGCTGACCTGGGGAAACTCAGGCCACATTTCCTACCCGTATCGGCAGCAAAGGAGACAGGGTCACTGACCTTAAAACTGTGGTGACGTGTCACAAAATGTTGATCCAGTTTGATCAAGACCCAGGTGAATTCCCAAGGTCAGCCACAGAAGCTTTCAGCTTCTTAGCACCATAAAATGCATAAACCAGCATCAAATGCACGGCGCTTTGGCTGCCGGCACGACAAAAACCCCCAAACCCTAATCTCAGAGAGCCTCTCACCCATGTTTTGGATCTTGTGTACTAGACTAATAAAAGCTTAGAATAGAATTTTGCACCATGTGCATCACAGCACTGAGAAGTGGGAGTCAGGTCAGAAATCAACAAGGTCTGTGGACCTAATGGGAATTATTATTTAATGGCTGGACTTGATGACCTTAAAGGTCTTTTACAACCGCAGAGATTCTATTTAGAGGCAACTGTAACTGAGGCAGCTTCAGAGAACACTAAATTCAGTGCCCCCCAGTCTCCAACATGTGGCAGCCCTGATACAAAGCCCACATGTACTAGATAAACAACTTTATTACCACCTAGAATCAGTTCATCTTTCACATCTCACCTGTTCTCTTAAGCCTCAGCCTTACTAAGCCAGCTAACACTGTGCCTGAAGGCATGAACTGGGGCTGAGTCTCTGGAACAGAGGCTGCACACAGGAGCACACTTGGGCATAAAATACAGGGAAGGCGTCTTCACCCTGCTACAAGTGTCAGATCATTTCAGCGAAATGCCTGAACTTTACCCAACTGAAATGAGAAGGATTATTTTCTAGAATCCCTCTTAATTTACTCTCCTCCTCCTGATACAAACATTGAACTGAATCCACCCTGCAGAGAAGAAAACTTCTCACAAGAAAACATCTACACAACTTGCAGCATCAGGATCAGAGCAAACCCCTGCTCCTCCAAACCTACTCTGCCAACGACACAGGGCTACTAAATTAATAACTTTCACTTCTACATGAGTATTAATGTTTAGCTCTTCCTTCCCTACTTTGGACAATCCCTCCTCCCCAGAAGAGGTGAATGGGTAATTTCCACCAGCAGCTGTACTTTTTGTGGTTCCATTGTGGTGTTCTTGACTACAAATGGTTTTATAGGTTGGGATCCCTTGGATTTGTCTGCATGTTATGATAAAACACAATGGGTTCATTCACAAACAAAACAAGTTTTTACATAACAGAACGTGCAATAAAAGCGCAAGAAAGGAAGAAAAGAGAAAGAAAGAGAAAGAGAGAGGTATCCAGAGGAGAACTTACCCCGCGCTTTAGGCTCCTGAAGCAGTGGATTTTGGGTTTGGAGGTCATGAACTCGTTGAAGCGATGGGAGAGGGGTTCCTTTTGCTGCTTGGGAGACTGGGGGCCGTTGGGAACAGCAGAGGGTGAGGCAGAGGCAGGGGGAGGAGGAGGGGGCTGATGGGGGGATGTTAAAAGGGACATAAGCTACGTATAAGAGATGGAGAAGTGACAGAATAAAAACCAAAATAAAAAGATAAAACACAAAACAAAAATAAGCATCAAAACCGATATTTGAAATCCAGAGAAAAAAACCAATTAAATAATTAAATATTAAAGGCCATGGTTCAAAAGAGGGGGGGAAAGCAGTATTTAAGAGTTGTGTTAAACGAAGAATGGGATAAATGGAAGTTTTAGTAAGTGAAGTGATGCAACAGAAGAGCAATGCAAAAGTATTTTGACAGGAAGCTCATGCAGACTCTTCCATGCAGTGCTATCCCCATAAAATTGCCCTGTTCTGCTCTGTGGACAGCTCGGAATAATGCATATGGATAGAGCTTTCAAATACCTGAATTTAAATGGATCAGATAAGGAAGGTACCTTAGTGCCCAGTAGCGTTTCTATTATCTGGAAAACAACAAACCACATTCCTTCCTGCTTTCAAATCATACCTCGGTAACGTGCATCACACTTCACTTGTACAAATTATGCTACGAATTTGCTCAGGAGTTATCGTCCTGGATTTTGTTTCTGGCTACACTGATGTAAGCACCAGACAGCCGAGTTCTCTCTTACACCAGTGCAACAGGCATGGCCCCTTTTTAAAAGGTAGATTTTTTTTTTGGTTCTGTAATTAGAAGTGGTTTGGTAAAGGCTCAGATCATGGGCGAGATCAAAACGATGAAGCTACTCTGGGCTTCCATCAGTGTTACTGAAAACCAGTTCAGTCCAGTCACCCTGACACATTCTGGTAACCCTGGATACACGCTGCCATGCACGATGGTGTAAAATATGACAGTGAAATGAAAAAGGTTTAATGGATACATAAGTTAATATGGTCTTCTAAGAAGTCAACTGCTCAGTTAGTTATGCTCCATTAGTTGTGCTTAAGAAGAATGAATCGCAGTGATTCCTTGTTCCCAGCCACTCAAATGATGAACCCAGTGCACAGACTGAAAAGATAACGCAAATGAAAAGCCAAGGAGAGTTTTAGAAGTGTCAAAACAGTAACGCCACGTTAAAGCTTCCCCAGGTTACAATGTTAGTTTGCACACATGGCACTAGGTAAGTGGTACACAATTCCTTCTCTGAGTTAGGAACAGAAATGGACCATGGCAGAGACGTAACAACTAAGGTTAAATTAATACAAAAACTGCAACATAATTAAAGAAAATACACAAGAAAAAAAAATTTAAAGATATAAAGAAACTTAAGTAATCAAAGGCTACAACAAAACACCATATTAAGACATCAGTTATTAACTTCCCATATCTAAAATTCTCTTTTAAAAAAATTGTAATTGCCAGGATTGCTAGACAAGACAGAGGTTACTGACTATACATGTACTAGCACCAAGCTCAAGTTTGCAAGTCAGTACCTTATTTTTCTTGATGAATGGCCATAACTTGCCCTTGGATTTGCCACCAAACTTCGGCTCGGACCTCCCATCCGCCCTGGAGTTGGAAAGGCTGGTTTCTGAGACGGTTCGCTTCATCGGCTGCGTGAAATCCTCAAATTCGATATCTCCTGGAGGCTCGAACCCCGATTTAAAGGCTTCTATTACCATCTGCGAGTCCTGGAACAGGACAGATCCAGTACAGTGTAAACATCTCGGGTGAGGGCTGGCACCAAGTCAGTGGCACAGAGCAGCAGCACATCTACCTGACTTCTCCATGAGAAAGCTTTCTGTGTCACACTGCTCTGACAATTATCTTCTAAGATCATTAGAGAAACTGTGCCACGGCACACAGATATCTTATTAGCCTCTGGAGAGGGGCACCACCACTCTTCAGATAAAAAAAACCCCCGAACTTGTTGCTTTGAAGGTATTTCACAGATTCTGCTCATGGCCGCAGGTAAAATACTGCTCCTGAGAAATCTGGTGGGATATAAACATATCCAGAGGCCAGGCTCAACTGAGGAAAACACAACTATAGGAAAAGCTTTACAAAAGTCTTCATGGAATTGTGAAGAAAATTAAGGTTTAAGATCTTCAAACTATCAGGTGCACCGTGAAACTCCTACACAATTTTTAGGGAGGTGGAACAACACTTTCCATTATCTCATTCCAATCTGACATTAAAACTCCCCAAGATCTAAACATTTGAAGAGATTTTTAATAATAGCCATGAAAGCAAGATGAAGAAGCAAGAGAGAAGAGACTGCAAACTCACACAAGGTTACATTAAATCCTCTACTGGTATTTTATCCTATGCACAGAGTTTTTAATTTTCTCCTCTCAGTTTTACAGTGTTCTTTCCATCTAGTCAAAACATCCTTCCCCTACAATGGAGCTAAAAATAACCAGCGTGCTCCATATATTACAGAGATAATGTCATAACAGGAACTCCGAAGTTCATAACAAATTAATTTTATCTGCTGCTAGAGCCTTCTGAAGCAAGTTTTGCAAAGGTTCACCTGGCAGTCACTGCAGCTTATCCTTGCAACACGACCTGTGTCGTCCGAGTGGTTAGAAAGAGGGCATGAAAAAGCAGCATGTTTACAATTGCTTCAGAAACCCAGGGCTAACCAGTATTCCCAGACAAATCCAGACAGTTTCTGTGAGCAGGAATTCTATACACTTGGGTGAGGGCATAAAGCAAATTTAGTAACTAAGTCTGAAAGACCGGCCGTTTTGCTAGTGGGCATGAGGCAGAACTTTGTAATATTTAAGCTGTAGAGAATAGAGAAAGGATTAAATCTGTCCCATATGTCATTCTGGTTCTTAACGCTAGCCAATGAAATAGGAGCCCTGGAAGAAAAGTGATATTCCAGAATGCCGCTGGCACCCACAGAGGGAGGGGACACGGAGCTGGCCACGGAAGGGAAGCCTGTTAGCAGACTGCACTTCCACAGTTTCAAAGTCACTGTAGAAATCCATCCTTCCTTACGATTGTGCTACGCAATTTTCTTGCTAGAAATCACTGTGGTTCACTGATACCATAGGAACCACACGTTCACAGACCAATGTTTGTAAGAAATCTGCCTGAAGCTGAAAATTGATTAGCAAAAAGCTCTGCGATACCCACATGAAGTACAAAGTTCTGCTGCTTTTCTTTTGTTTTTCTTTTTAAACAGTAATACCTTACTATCAGCTGGTTATATGCTACTGACAGCAAAAAAAAAAGCTGCAGAACTTGCAGGTTCTTCCATCCTTTCAGCTCTAGTTGACACAGTTTGGTACACAAGGTAAATCACTAGAACTGGTGTTTGCTCAAATTTTTTTCTTTTTCTTTCTGACCAATACATGCTCTATATTACTTGCAGTTGTTCCATTTAAAGCCCTGGCTTTTGAACTGAATTTACTGCACAAAGAGCAGAGCTTTCATTTAACCTCTCACCTTCTTCAGTAACTCTGTGATAGCTGGGTAGAAAAAGTGAAAATAAAACCAAAGGATCCCAAGAGCTAAATAAGAACTTCAAATGCAGCACTGCCTTTTGTTGGTGTCATATTGCCTGACCTTACACATTTCAAGTTCAGTGATACTGTACTTTTGTTTATAATTACCAGATCCTGGAGATCTCCTCCCAGCTGGGAAACACATGTCTCTGTGGGCCCAGAGTTTCACACAAAGCTTTTCCTGCTCAGCAGGCTCTGGGTTTTGCTCACCATTGTACCAGCTATATTATCACCAGCTGTCCTTGCATTCAGCTTCCCTGGAATCTGACCTCATTTTCAAGCTCAAAAGAGAGGAGTGAAAAAGACAATCTTCAGCTTGAATCTTTCGAGGAAAAGGAGAAACTTTCCTGACGGTAGCCCGAGAGCCCAAACTTGCTGCTTGGAATGTTAAGAGGCGAGATGAGAAGGGTCTGCTGTAACACAGCAATTTCAAATTGCTGCTGTGTGCACCTACGGCCGTCCTTACGCAGTGGCAGGAGCGACAGAAGGGCAGGAACGAGCTTATTGCTCACCAGAATCAAGAAAGCTAGAAACTACTGTTCCAATAAAAAAGTCCTTGATGATATTTAAGAAAAAAGAACCTTTTACAGACATAACTGTTCTCCAGACAGAACATGCTAAATCCTTTCTAATTGTTCAGATGTAACAAATATGGTTAAACACACTGTCATAGTGTGGTATCTCCAGGACATCCCTCAGTCATCAGTGCTCAAAGTCACCATTTTCAGACGTCACACGTGCACAGGAGCCATCAATGTGATTTATCTGAGTGCAAGAGACTCACTTGAACATAAAATTCAGAGTGACTCAAGCACCTTGCTTAAGCTTTGGGTGCATTTTGCTAAGACCTCACTTGACAACTCAAGCAAAACATAGGCTTAGCTACGAATGTCCCTGACACGATTTCACCACACAGCACCAAAAGCCGAACCTCAGGAAGGGCACGTTGTTCTCACATGGGGCTCTCTGCCCAAAGGCGCCTTTCACCCACCCTGAAAGAATAATTTTCAGATTTCTTGGTTTCCTGTGCTGCTCTCTGTGAGGGCAATTACCACGCAGAAAGTAGTGGATTCATTTCAAAACTTCAGCCGCAGGCTTGGGCTGCCAAATTAATGGCAGTCTCCAGGCTCTGGGCACTGAACAGCTCAGAAAAGATTCCAGTGAAAGAGATGCGCGGGAAATTCAAACAGCCACCAAGACACATGCTGTTTGTATTTGAAGCACTAATGTGATCCATGAGAAGGGCTGAAAGAGTGAGCAGAGACTTCATTTCCAAAGGGAACATGTCATTCTGAAAACAAAATAGAAATCACATTTGCCCTTGATGATAACTGTACATCAGGAAGCTCAACCAACCTCTTTATCAGCCTTTTTATCAGGAAAGCTTCTTTTTATTCCCACAGTGATGTTCAGAAATCAAGATCCGTGGACCTCAAATCCACAAAGAAAAGTTGTAATTTCATCAGAGTTGCTCAAAGTAGTTTATGTAGCCAATACTTTAAACATGTGCATTTTTAAGACTAACTGGTATGAAGACATTTCTGCAACACCTGCTTTTCTGACTATTAGACATAGAAGCCATGTGAGTAAGAACTGGTGATTATTAGGTCTCTAGAATTATGCCCACCATCTTTTTTATTCTTTCCAGAAGTCTCTTTTTCAATTACAGTACTTCAAAGAGTAATTACCCTAGTAAAAGGAGAGGATATTCCTAAAGGAAAAAAAAATAATTGAGAAAGTAAAAAGTGTGGCCGTAGAAGCATTCCTGGGTGTTAAGTAGATTAGAGAAATAATCTGTGCACATTCTGCCTCAGACAAGGTACATTGGGACAAGAAGTTATTGAGTTTTACGACTACAAAATTCTTGTGCTGCAGCCTGGACCCAGGATTTACGTCTCCATTTAGAAGTGATCAATACTAAACATGACAATTGACGATCAAAAGAAAAAAAAGCAACACTTACATTCTTGTGATCAACCAATTCTGCAGCCTTCGTTATTTCATCCAAACACTTTCCAATGATAGGGATCACTTGGCGGTCAACTTCTGCAAACGTTTTCATGGATTCACCTATCCTCACGATTCTTCTTTCCTCCATCTCTTGTATTTTCTAGAACATTAACGTCACAGTTTCAACTCAGCATACATCAGCTGCTTTAAAATGTATGGCTTAAATGTATTTTTGAGAAATGAGGACAATTGTTCTCATGACGGCACCAAGTGATATTGTTCATTTAAACATCAAAATGCCATTCTGAAAGTAATCTGAGATTCTTTCAATTCAGTTCTAATGTTAAAAATGTCAATTTGTCAAAACTCCAGCTTTAGACTTTTGTAAGGATGACCCCTAAGGCTTTTAAGAGAATTTTTACAATAATGTTTCGTATTTCATGCACATATTCTGAAAGATCTTATTTTCATTCCACTGCAGAAGCAAACAAAAATCCTGATGTCTACCCTTCAACTTTTCCATAGAAGGCAATTTTTGGTTTAGAGGCAGTCCTGTACATCACAGATTGCTCACCCTTGGCTTCTCAACATATGCTCCCTGTTGCTCAACGGATTCAGTGCCACAATCTCCAGCATCTATTCCGGGAGCCTCTCATTTACACCAGAGGCAAACTGGATGCGGCATAAGGCTATTACGACAGATTATAACAGGATACAGAAGGGCACGAGCAGGAAGAGCCTGTTTCACATTAGACAGCAGGAATCTTACAGAGCATTGCCAACTTAAAAAACCCCATTGCCTTGATTGATCCGTAAAACCAACTCTTTACAAAACAACTTATTTCAACACCTAAAAGAAAGCACTAGAGCTTAGCGGTGCTCCGGCAGTGAAAGCGACACATCTGCAGTACTGGAAGCGTGCTCACCCACAGATCACCAGATCCAGTGTTAAATACAAATCTACTGCAAAAATTTTACATCTGATGCCAGGGATAATTTATCTTAAGACATTGGCTTGAAATACCATGAAGCAAAAGAGAAGATATCCATTTAGCTAAGAAGCTCCAGCTACGGATAAGAAAATGCACATTTCCTACACAAATGTCAGTTATTTCTCATCAGATAAGCATCTGACATTCTCTCCCTTAAAGAGGTTGTATTTTCCACTTGTGATGCCCATGACCCATTACAATGGAACAGTCATGAAGAACTTCTGCTCTACTACATTAATTTCTCTTCCTTCAGTCAAGTACAACTTCGTATCTTCAGTCAGTATAAATGTGATGGCTTTTCTGTTCTTTCTCTACAGTCTTTCTGTGGGCACCCTAAGACATAATCAGGAAGCTTGCTTAAACCCTCTGACATTCACTACTGCTGAACTCTTGTGGTGTAAATTTAAACATCTGTGAAGTTTGATTTGCAGACAGGTTATAAAGGGCCTGTGAGGCTTCACAGATGTAACGATGTCCAGCTGACTCCTGCCCCAACAATGCAAGTAATGCCGTCATTCCCCAGCTGCATGGGCACAAGAGTAAGATTGTGAGGACTCCAAAAACCATCATGATCTGTCATGACAATTCGATGTCACTTGCTTCATATATTAATGATCACTTAATACCTAGTTTAAGAGAAAGGGACAATTTATCCTATCAAGCTCTCCATCTCCTGGGGAGGCAGACTGCATATGAAATTTGCTAACAGTACAAAGACCACCAAAAAGTAAAACACAGGGTCACAGAACTGAGGTGATGTGCAATAGGCCGCTCTGTTTTTATCATTATGAGCAACAGTAGAGGAGTGCCAGTGATCCTTACCTGGAAGATGCTCGGTATGTGCGTGTAGTAATGCTCATGCTGTTCACTGTTGAACTTCTGTAGAGTGGAGGAATATTCCGCTTTGCTGTCTTCTGCCATTTGATGTCGCAGCTGGGCTTGCTGTCTTGCCTAAAGAAATGCCAAAAGAAATTCATAATTTATCCTACATGGAAAGAAAAGGCATTGTGTTACTCCTCATCTTATTATCCTTACCAGTAGGCAGCACAGGGACATTAGTATATGGGTCTCTAAACACTTTGGTTTTTGGTTTACTACTAATTTGTAAAACAGTTCATTTATGTCCAGCAGAAGCCTGCAGCATGCTCACGGCTGCTGTTCTTGTAACACGCTATATCCATGAACAATCTCTGTTCGTACGGCATGTAAACCACCAAAATGGGTTTGCCTCTCTACTAGCCCTCTTAACAGGCACGCACATCTTCTGCAAGCTCCTGGACACTCTTCTTGCTCCACTGTGTGCCCTGTTGGATGGCTCCTTTTTTTGCCCAATGAACTACTTGCCTGTTGGCCAGCAGTATTGTTTGGGGAAAGTGAGGTGTTACTTCAACGTGCCTTAGCCAACAGACCCATGACAAAATATCTTCACTTGTGTGCTCTCTGCACAGTCCTTTATCTACGCTTCCTTGAACAGCGCTGACAAGAAGTGCCCAAGGAAAGGGGAGCCCGAGCAGCAGCTGAGACACGACTCCCTATTTTTATTCCCACAGCTGACTCGCTTTGCTACCCAGCATAGCGGCGCACTGGGCAATTAATCTCTCTTCTCTCTCTAGAACAACTTGTCCCCAAGTGACCCGTTTATGTTGTCCAATTCCTCTCCTTACAATTCAGCTTCCACTGCCCACTATTACTCTCTCACTGTCTATCCCAACTGTTTATTTTAGTTGCCTTCTTCCTTGCTGTTGCCCGGAGCTCTGCCGCTCACCCTGGCCCCAGGCAGCCCCTCCTGCCCCCACCTGCTCCCATTTAATTTCACTTGCTCCATGAGAGCTCTGCCATTGATTGGAGCGAGCCCAGGATTTGCTTTTGTAAATCTAAACTGCAGTTTAGAGTTTGCAACTCATTTTTCATGCACTAACAGAGCCTCCTCAACTTCCAGCGCCGACCTAGCCCCGGAACCAAGAGAACCTGCCTTCTCCGAGCATTCAAAAAGTGTTATGTTCCAGTCACTCCCTCAATTTCAGATTAATCCCTTTAAGAAAGGATAATGAAAGAATCTTCTAAAAATTTAAAGGATTTTTGGGTGTTTCAGGGAAAATAGCACAATTAATTTCAGCACATTCTAAGTGGGCTCCCATTAAAACCAGTTCAGAATGGGGTTATTCTTTGAACTGTTCCAAGCAGACAATAGTTTCCTGACAATAAATTCATGAAATACCAAATCATGGAACATTTTATTAATCATAACTGGAAGGTAAGAAATTCTGCCAGAAGGTTTCAAATCTCAATTTGCAAAGAAACAGGCTTCCCTCCCATTTGTCCAGTCCGCACATCTCACCTAATAATTTATTTCATCTCAATTCAGCTATTTTATTTTGTGAGCACAGTCAACTGTAGGAATTTCCTTGTCCCCCATCGCATTATTTCTACAAAAATAATTCAAGTACAATGCAAAAATGCTGGGCACCAAGTGCATAATAATAGAAGAAACAGCATCAAATGGAGAAGACTGCAACTATAATCAAATAAAAAAAAAAAATCCAATCAGAAAGACAGGCTTTCAACTTTGCTTGTTCCTCAGGAGTTTTAACTGTCCACTATCTCCTGTGAAGGATATGCAAAGAACTTTAAAAAAGTTATCTGCTGCAATGCAGTCCCAAGAATCCACATCTGTCATTTTCCTGCCCAGGTGGTGTATACCTTATTAAACTTTATTGTCCTCAAACATATAGAGCTACATTAAATGGGAATGTGAAACAACACAGCCTTGTACTACAAACACAAATTTACCAGCAAAACAAGGTCAGCCCTGGAAAGGCAGGCAGCTGGAAGAGTACCGTGCGCTCGTCTCCCGACCCTTCCTCAGGGGCCACCTGCTCCGGATCAATATCCATTTGTGAGGCCCATTCTCTTCAGCCACCTAAGAGCAACCCATTGTTCGAGCTGACTTCTTCAACTGGGGGGGCTGTTGTCACACAGCTGTCTGTCTGGGGTTTTTATTGTATTATTTTATTTTAAATAGTGCAACACAGGATTTTGTCCCTTGACTCTTATTGCTGAGGCAGAACAACAAGAAATCCATTACTAGGCATTGCCAGCAAACATCAGAGTTCATTTTCAGGAGGCAGCTCATTGGCCGGAGGTGAGCAAAGTAACTCTGAGCTGAACGTACACAGGAGCAGACACTCAGTTTCCAAAATGATCTTAACTGGCCCCAAATGACAAGAGGCAGCAGATGAGTAAGTAAAATTGGGTACACGCCAAACCCGAGATTTTTTCTATGAGAGTCCCAGTGATGTTTTCTTTCTTCTGGCCATTTAATGCATTTGGCAAGCTTCAAACAGTTTAAATTTTTTTCCAATGAGGTATTTCAATCTTAAAAGCATTTCTGAAAGTCTAGATTTTTTTCATTACTTCAGTTACTCTAACATCATCACTTCTAGTATTAACAGAGTTATATTTTATAGCTAGGTTCCTGCACTCTGCTGAAGCACAGAATGAGAAGTATGAGTCGAGGGCATTAAGTTCCCCACTCAGTACCACACGCGGTGCTCTGGAGCTGCACACAGGCACAGGAGCTATTTCAGGAGTAATTCCTAGTTGAGCTTTACAGCTCACTTGTGCATGTAAACAGCTTTAGAGAAGGTATTTTGGGGGGTTGAGTTAATATTACAATATTTGCTCTCGACACTATTTTCAGGAGGAAAGACTTTGGAATAATCAGGCTCTGGCAAACCAGACCATAACTTCAGATATAAGAGGATGACACTGTGATGCAGCTTTCAGGCAACATCCTCTTTCCTTGAACTGGGCAGGGATGACTGAGCAAGAGCTCTCGTTTCCAGCACCACATGTGAAACTACGATCCAGATCTCCTACAGACTGCCAGATTTCTCAGTTGTAAGAGATATCAAGGCTAGGTTCTTGTAATGCAACAACAACAAAAGAAATCCCCTCCCCTCTTCAAAGGAAGAAAGAATGAGGTCAATCTTCAGCATCATGAAAAAGCAGAAACATGCATATATATTTGAGGGATTTGTGGGGAGAATAAAAGCAGTTTGCTTTCAAATGCATGCTTCTGCACACATCAGCAAAAGATACACAGATTTTGCACACTCCTGTCCCCGAATAAAGATGCATTTATTTGACTTCTCTCCGAAGTCTGCCTTTGTTAAGGCAATTCTTCTCTAAACTCATATGGCAGCAGCAAAACCAAAAGGTCACGTATGTCAATGCATGTGCCATCAGGAAAAACACTCCCAAAAATAAACGACAGCCCAGGATCTGCAGCATCACAACCCTTACCACACACCTGCAGGTAAACTTCAGGCTCCACTGCCACAGCAACCAAATTTAAACAGAGCTGCACCAAAGGAGTGTCTTCTGTAACTAACTCATCAAGAAAACTCTAGGTAAAGGACGTGTAGCTCTGACTGAACAGTGAAAACGCACTCGCAGTACGGGTCTTCTCTTACAGAACCTACACAGAATTGCCATTAAACATCCTCAAAACCAATATTTTTTGCTTCCTTTAGACAGCCTAGCTAGCTGATGGAGGAGAATACCGGGCAGTAGCTAACTGCAGGGAAGAAAGAACTTTCGAAGTGCCGTTTTTTAAATCTCAGTAGAACTGTGGCAGTCTTCAGTCCTTTAAAAAATAAATAAAAATCAGGCCTCAACAGCACTTATGTGAAAAACAACACTAAACTCAACAGCCATACAAACTGACAACGTGCGCTATGGCATCTATCTCTTCTACGAGGTAGCAGGGAGAGAAACCACCCAAATGGTCTTCTCTCCAGATTATTTTAACCACATTTCCTGTAGATTTTCTACCCAACCACTGAGCTGCAAAAAACAGACTTTCCAACAGCATCAAAAGTTAGTTCCAGATGTTTAAATGACTCCACCAGGAATCCAAAGATGGCACATTCAAGCTAAGTGACAGATGCCAGAGTGGGGTATTGATGCTGAAAATCTTTCATGACTTAAGTACTTACACCAGTATTTATTTCTTTGTCCTTTAAAATAAGCAATTAGAAGAAGGTTAACCCTGCAACCCTTTTACTCCGAAGTGACACATATTAAGGAGATATATTTAGTCTGAACCTACTCGCCACCTGCTTCAAAAATCCAGCAGTTTTGCAATATAATGCAATTTCAGTAATCACTGCGTATCAGAATGCGACAAAAGAATTACAGACAAGGCAAGTTCTCCATAGTCTTTGCAAACATGTAGTACCCGTAAAGGTTTACGTGCTGATCTGAAATCTATTCTAGTACTTTATGCCTTTGACCAGCAGTCAGAAAAGGAAAATTCAACAGAGAACAGGGATATGGACGTCTTTACAATGGACACTGTCAATCTGGAAGGTGTGAGAAGACATTAGCAAGCTGCTGCGCGTGGCACGCTGCCTCCTGGAGAATTCAAAAACTAAATCCTTGTACACACCTTAGCCCCCAAAACTCAGTTGGATATGACAGGCAACTGGTGATTAAAGGTAGGAAAAATATTTTAAAACACAAGCATACTTTCTGCCATTTTGGTCACCAATACAGAAAAGAACGAAGGATATTTTGCCAAGAACAGTTTTCTAAGACGCATTCCAGAAACAGCAAGAGGGTCAATAGACACACTGTCTTCTGGGTTTACACAGACAAAAAATGCAGCTCCTCGGGGCTGTTATGGTGGGAGTGATATGAATAACTGAAAAGGGCAGAAAAAAACTTTGGCTGCTATTCAGCTGATCCACACTAAGTGGAACAGTTCAACTTCTCAGCAGTCACTCTTGTCCAGAATGGCAGAGTTTCCAGTCAAAACTTTGGTATAAGTTTTCTTTCTTCTTTCTTTTCTCCCATTTCTCCCCTCCTTTTTTTTTTTTTTTTAACCCAGACAGCATGTGAGATGCATCACTGCCAGGCCACTGCCTGCCAAAATAGATCTGTCTTTG